TTTGGTTTCTGCTTGGACTCCCATCCCTTTGGGACCTAGGCCAGGATGCTGAGCCTGTATTCAGGATTTAGATCCAGAGTGATCTCTTTCTTGGGGGTATATCAGATGTACAGCCTAAAGCTCTGAGAGTAACACTTCATGTCTTGGTGCCACCCATCTGAGTAACCTGAGGTTCTTTGTGCCATATCTGAGTTCCAGGGTGGGGTGGCATGAGTGCCCTGCTTGGATTCTTCATGGAAATCTGCTTTAAATAGCAAAGCTGTTGGAAAGGGATTTCCAGTGACTACTCCCAGTCTGTGGTGGCTGCAGGGGTGAAGGTCAGGGAGCTGCTGGGGTGCCAGTGGTGGTCAGGCACTTACCAGACATGAAAGCCCCAGCAGGAACCAGTTCACAGCTCCAACTCTGTTAAACCTTGCTCTGGCCACGTGCCTGTCCCACTGCCAGGCTGAGCATCAGGAATGAGCCCATGTCCGATCCTGAAATCCCAGGGAAGCAGCTGGTGCGCCGTTCCCTGTGGGACAGTGTCACTAAAGCGCCTTGTCTTGGAATTCTAGACTGTCCGTCAGCAAACAAACGCACGCACTGCAGCGTACGGAGCTGCCACCCGAGCTCTGAAGGCCATCAGCAAGGTGAGGCTGCCACATCTCCACCTCTGCTCCTGCCAGCACAGCCTTCCAGTGTGCTGCTCCAACCCTGACATTCCGGCCTCTCGATTTCCTCTCAGCATCGGTTCACCTGAGACTCCTCTGCTCCAAACAGCTGCTGGATGAGCACCTCTTCTGCCCTCTCACCTTTTTCACCTGATCTTGCTTTTTCCTTTTCCCTGTCCTCTTCTCCTCTTTCCTCTTTGGGCCACCTTTGCCCTTCTTTTTGGTGTCATCATCTCCATGAATCTCTTCCTCTTGGAAGATCCCTCCAGGTGCCACAAGCTGGCACCTGCTCACCGAGGGCAGTGAGAGGAGCCAAGAGCCAAGTGTGGAGGCAGTTGTGAGTCTGTGCTCCTGGATCTCATCTCCCTCTGGTTTCCCATCCCATGATCAGTCACAGAGGACAATTGTGGCCACCAGTGTGCCACTGGAGACTCTTCCTTTTGTCCCCCAGAAGACCAGCTCTTGGCAGTGTGCTCCTGCAGCTCCTGCTCTGTCCTGCTCGCACATCTGAGTGGTGTCCTCCCCGCTGTCCGATTGTCCCTCCTCCTGCCTTTAGCTCCTCTCCTCAGATGATTGATTCTTGCTCTTCTTGTTGCTCCTTGGTGAAGCTTTATTTTGGTGCAGGTTCACTTCAGTCCCTCTCCAGGCAGAGCACGTGTGGCATCTCTGTCTCCTGGAGAGCATCCCATTGCCTTTTCCCAAACCTGGCTTGAAGCCTGTGCCAGGATTTGGCTGCCTCTCCTGCTCGGGGAGGAGGGGGCAGTGCTGGGACTGATGCAGCAGATGGATGGGCTCAGCATCCAACCCTTCTCCACTTCCCTTGTGATGTTTTTCTCTTCCCAGCTGGTCAAGAGCTGCAATGAGGGAGCTCGGGCTATGGAGAGGACGGAGCAGATGTACACCCTGCAGAAACAGCTGGAATTTGGGAAGAAGAAGGTGAGCTCTTGTGCAAGTGGTGGCGGGAAGTCTTTTGGGGTGTGCTGTTCAGGCGGGTCAGGCCTGTCCTGGGAATCCTTCTGGGAAGCCTTGACTGGACTGTTGGATGCAGGCAGCTCTCTAAAGGGCTGTAGAAAAGCCCTGACACTGTCACCTGCTGTTGCAGGCTGCTTGGCTGACCCACTGTCCGTGTGGAAATTCTTTTGGAAAAGATGCTTAAAAACATGTGGTGTGTCCATCCCAAGTGGCCCCGGGGCCACTGCAGGTTCACTTCTTGGCTTGATTTTGCCTGCTGCTGGTGAAAAGGGCAGTAAGTCAGCCTTGTCCTGGCCCTGTTTCAGCCTTTCCCGCTGATCTCCGTGTCCCGCTGGCTGCGGAAGCGGGGGGAGCTGTACCTGCTGCTCTCAGAGGAGGCCGGGATCTTCCGCCGCGGCGCCGGCCGGCTCTGCTACCTCTTCTTGTTCAACGACGTCCTCATCATCACCAAGAAGAAGAGGTAAGGCCGGGAGGAGGGCCCTTCCTTTCCCTGGAAAACAACCAGGGGGTTAAATCTCCATTTCCAGAGCAGCACAACCCCGAGAAATGCGCGAGATTTCCCAGGTTTGACTTTTTTGAGGCGTCCCTTGTCAGCCAGACGGGGAATTCCCAGTCCTACTGCCCTTGGGTTTGCCTCTGCAAGTGCCCAGAGCTGGTTCCCACCCTGGGCATCACCTCATGCCCTGGCTGTGGCAGCTGCTCCCGCAGTGCTGCTGAGCCTCATCCTCCAGGCTCAGAGCCAGGAGGGAGCTCGGAGCCCGCACAGCTCCAGTGCTGATCCCGTCTGTGCCGCAGCGAGGAGAACTACACGGTGATGAACTACGCCACGCTGGACCAGGTCACCGTGGAGAAGGTGGAGAGCACGGATCCGCCGTCCCCTCCTCCCGGGAAGGCCGGCGGGCACCTGCTGCGGGTGGTGCTGGAGAAGGACAGCGAGGGCCGGCGGGAGGAGATCGTGCTGTCGGCAGAGACACTGTGAGTGGCCCCCTGGGACTGTGCTGGGTGCCCACTCGGGCTTGTGGGATGAACTGTGCCCTGGAAGTTCCCCTTCTGTGGGTTTTTCGCTCCCCTTTCTTCCTCCCAGAAATGGGGGTGTGCACAGGCTTCTCCCTGGCTCTGTTTCTTTCTCTCTCTTGGGTTTCCCATATAATTCCCACATCATCTTCCCCTGTCCCGATGAAGCAAAGCACCTGGGCTGTGTGCACAGCTTGTGAAGTGTCTTTACATTGAATGCTCTAATCGAATGCTTGTCCAGTCTGGAAAGCCTTCCTCCTGCTGGGAATGTCCCAGCTGCTGCTGGCAGCAGGGATGCTGTCCCTAAGGCTTCCTCTGATACGGGCTGTCCCTCTGGTAGGAGTGACCGGGCCCGGTGGATCGCGGCGCTGATGCACCGAGAGAAGGAGAAGCCTGACACCACTCCCAAAGGAGGTACCACATACCTGGCTCTGCCAGGATTATCTGTTACGCTGAAGCACTGCAGGCACAGGTTTCTGCCTCGTTCTCTGCTCCTGCTGGAAAAGGAGCTGAGGACACACGTGCTGAGGGAGAGAACTCCAGTACCATGCCTTGTTCCTCTGGAGTTGCCTCACATCAAGTTATCAGTCACAATTAACCTTAAATACATTTCCTGGGAGGCACAGTGGAATTCCAGGAATGCCTTCAGCTGTTGTAAGAGGAGATCTGACAAGCTGGGAGGGAGAAGGGGCAGGGACAGGAAGGGAGTGTGACATGCTGGGGTGGGCAGGTGGGGGGTCACAGCCGAGCAGGGGGCTGGCCTTGTGTGCCAGTCTGTGGCTCCTGGCCGTGCCTTCTCACTGGTCCCTGCTGTCCCCTGTCCTCCACAGACCTGAGCCAGGTGGAGATCACCCGTGCCTACCTGGCCAAGGAGGCAGATGAGCTGTCCCTGCAGCAGGCAGACGTGGTCCTGGTGCTGGGGGGAGAGGATGGTGAGTGTTGGCGAGCACGGAGGGACAGGCTGACCTTAGCAGAGCTGGGCGGGGGGAGCCTTCAGTGACCCCCGTGAACTGGGACTGCAGCAGTTGCAGAAATTTTCAGGAAGATGGTGCTGTGTCCCAGCAGGTGACAGTGGGCTCCAGGGGCTGGCAGAGGTGGCACTGCCATGGGCAGCTGCTGCGTTTCTTAGGGGTGACCCCTGTGTGCAGGCTGTGGCTGGGAGAGCCCTCAGGAGTCAAACACCCCAGCACAGGCAGTTAATCAGGAACCTCCTCCCCAGCCAAGCTTTCCCTGATGCCTGTAGCACCTCTGTGGGAAGGGGGTGGTGCAGCCCCATTCCGTGTGCACCCCGGGGAGCCGCGGTCCTTCCTCGTCCCTGACAGCTGCTCTGTTCTGCCCCCAGGCTGGTGCTGGGGCGAGCGGCTGCGGGACGGGGAGCGGGGCTGGTTCCCGCAGAGCTGTGCCCGGCAGATCACAAGCCGCTCGGCCGTGGAGGGCAACGTGCGCCGGATGGAGCGGCTGCGCATCGAGACCGACGTGTAGGCCCAGAGAGACCCCTCTGGGGGCTGTTTATGGACCTCCAAACCTCTGCAGACTGAGCCCGTGGCAAGAAGGGAGCGGGGAGCCCTCTGTGGGGAACTGTGTGTGTCTCAGGCAGATCTGATCACCCGAGGCTCTCTTTGCGCCCGCCGTGGCAGCAGCTCCTTCGCGTGGGACCCGGCACCTGAGCGCTCCTGGCACTGGTGACCCGGAACAGGCTCTGGGAGCAGCCCAGGACGTGGCTCAGGTTGGAAAGGCTGTTCTGGGCTCGGGGAGGTGCCTGTGCTACCATCTGTCCCTGCTGTCCCCTGGGCCAGCGCCCGCTGGCAGTGGCTGCTCAGCTGGTGTGGGAGGGGCTGGGTCAAGGGAGAGCACACACGAAACCAGGAATTTGTAGGAACTTAAATCTATGCCCAGCTTACTCCTTGACCCAGTTTTTCCTCCTGCTGTTATTTTTTTCTCCTTCCCTCTCCCCCCCACCCCCAATAATTCTTGGCCCCTTTGGGCACAGCCGTGACCTCCCCAGGTGAGGTGATGCTAAACTACTGAATGCCAGAGTTGTTCCCATGGAGTCAGCTCTGGGGCCAGGGGTGGGATGCTCCAGCCAGAGGGGGAAGCAGGGGCCTGGCAGGGAGCGATGCTGCAGCTCCCACCTGCCTTTCCCTCCTCCCAAGGCCCTGCTCAGCCCCTCCCACCCCGTGCAGGGGACACGGCAGCTACAATTTTGGGGTGAGATGGCCCCACACTGCCAACTTTGGATTCACAGGGGCAGCACCAATGTAATGTCTGTCCTGATTAAACTGTGGATTAATTGGGGTAACAATAAATTCCTGGATCCCACTGAATGGTGTGTTTCCTGTTAGTGGGGACTGGTGTCCCTGAGCCAGATTTTCCTACTCTGAGCCCTAAAAAGAAGCTTCAGTTTGATGGTGGCATCACTGTGGCCTCTGCATGCTCCCAAATATATATGTGCATCTCAGGAAACACCCTCCAGAGCCCCTGATTTTCTGCTGTCACCTGGAGCAGGTTTCAGGTTCATTTATTTGACTGAGGCAAGTTAAATAGAAACTCAGCCAGGCTTTCTGTTTATTTCCCTTAACTGTGGAGAAATTAACATTTTTCATCAGTGCTAAATTAAAGGAGATATGATCAAAAGAGAGACAGAACATGAAAAGAGGAAACAAAAAATTTGTATTAAGAAATATGAACAGGAAAAAACCACATTATATAAAAATACAGGTACAGGGTTGCTGTGGTCCCATGCTCAGACACATGGTTTGCTCTGAGCTTCCAGGAGTCACAGAGCTGCAGCTCAGCTCCGTGCTGGAGCAGGATGGGATGGATCTATCCTCACACTTATGGCTGTTTCCATGTTCTCCTGGAGCAGAGCCATTGAGGCAGAGCGTTTTTCCTCCTCCTCCTCCTGCACTGGGGGAGCTGGTGCTGGTTCCCAACCAGCCAAGGCAATCACTGGAACTTTCCTCCAAGGCAAAAGGGAACCCAAGGGATGATTGTCTGGAGAATTGGCAGCACGACTGGCAGGACTGATGGGGGGCATTTGGCACATGGACAAAATCTTCCTACTCCCAGGTTATCCATCATCCAACATCCAACCTTAATGACACGATTTTGGTCCTTCACTACATACTTATATTAACATTATTTCTTCACAAGAATGATACCTAATGCA